GACGTCGACACCGTGGGCGATGGGCTTGCTTCCGTTGGGCATGTCAAGGGCCAGGTTCTCGGAACCGAGCTTGTTGGCCAGGTCCTTCATGGCAACCAGAGACTCAACCTCAGTCAGCTCACCGGCGATGACCTTGAACTCGTTGCCCTTGGGCTGGATGTGGTGGTAGGCGTTGGCAACCTCCATAAGGGCAGCCTCCCAGTCAGCGGGCTCGAACTTGCCGTCGCGGCGGATCAAAGGCATGGTCAGTCTCTGGGTCTTCAGGCCATCGCAGGCGAAACGGGTCTTGTCGTTAATCCACTCCTCGTTGACGTCGTCGTTGAGCCTGGGGAGGATACGCATGACCTCGAGGCCACGGGAGTCGACACGGATGTTGGAACCGAGACCGTCGAGGACATCGATAGACTCGGAGTGCTTCAGTTCCCAAGGTCTCGCACGGAAGGCGTAAGGCTTTGAGGTGAGGGCACCGACGGGGCAGAGGTCGATGACGTTGCCGGAAAGTTCGGAGTCGAGGTTCTGCTCGAGGTAGGTACCAATCTGGATGTCGTTGCCACGGCCGAAAGAGCCCATCTCGGGGGCTCCGGCAATGTCGTTGGAGAAACGGACGCATCGTGTGCAGTGGATACATCTGTTCATGGAGGTCTTAATGAGGGGTCCGATGTTCTTGTCCTCGACGGCACGCTTGCCGCCCATCTCGTGGAAACGGCCACGGTCGGCACCGTAACGCATCGACTGGTCCTGGAGATCGCACTCACCACCCTGGTCGCAGATAGGGCAGTCGAGCGGGTGGTTGGCGAGGAGGAATTCCATTACACCCTCGCGGGCTTTGTGTGTAATCGGGGAGTTGGTCTTGACGACCATACCGGGCTGTACGGGCCATGCGCAGGAGGCGATGGGCTTCGGGGCTTTCTCGACTTCGACCAAGCACATACGGCAGTTACCGGCAATCGCAAGCTTTCTGTTCGTATTTGTCAGTGGGGGGGTATCCCTCGGAATGGTACCGGTCATCGACTCGATCGGAGGATTTCGTACTCATGATAGCAATATCTGTTACGGAGTCAGCAAATGACATTCAAGATGGTTTTCGAGCGGCTGGACAAACCTGGGCACTGTTACGCCTGCCTTTTCGCAAGCTTGAATCAAGGCGGAGCCGGCTAGATAATCATGAGCAGGAGTCTCCGGAGCCGTACACTTTACTCCTCACCTTCAACAGAAACCTTCTTTCCGTCTGCGTATCATGTTAGCAAGGCCTATGAAGTCCAATTGGACCCTCGTCAGGGCGGGCGGGCGTACCGATTGTCAGCTCAACTTCGGCATTCCTGCGAGCTGTGGTTGCAAAAGTTCGCGAGGCATTGGCGGCCTGCTTGCCAGTCCGCCAAGCCGAACGTGCTAGAGAGTGCCGCAGCATCGTGTCGCCTTGACGGATTGAGACAGAGACGAGACGTGGGAGGGCGAAATGGTGGGAGGCGGATTGAATCTCACAATCGTTGACGTCGGGAGGGAACTGCTCTTCTGTCCCGGGCCATGGGGATTTGGTGGCGCTAGTGCGTAAATCGCGATTAATTTACATCGGCCGTGATTGGTCGAGCCGGCTGGGAGCTGTTCGGGGCCTGAGGCACCCACTGAACCCACCGTGCACCATTTAATCCTCGGGTAAAATTTCATCGCGAAGCGCCTTTTCTTCTTTTCCTCCTCATCAATTGTACACGGGCACTTATCGTAGGTGAGCTTGAGCGCCGCAAGGCTGCTTCTGTCGAGCCTTCCTCTATCTAGTAGCTCCAGAGAAACATTTTTGACGCCGTTTATGGAAGCATGGGAGATTTCTTCAATGACCGCTGCCTCTTACCGCCGGTCGTTACATATCATGATGACGACAAGATATTTGTAGACTGTACGTGGATTTGCTAGTTCATTGCGAAGGCCATGTACAGGTGCACACATTACGTGCTGTGACATTTGCCACATGTGTCGCTGTCATGCGTTCACGTTGGCCTCGTTGCGGCGATGGAGACAAACATATGATATTCGGGCCTTAGGTGCAGGTAGATAGACGGTCCGTCCTTCCCGTCACCCTCCTCGTCGATTACATTGGTCGAAAACCACTCCTTCCAAATTCTTTCAACAACTCCAGCGAGCTTGTTGAGCCTCAAGACCGGGATGTCTCGCCTCCACTTCCGTCTTTGGTAGTGCCTGCATCAACTTCCTTCTTGAGAGCCGCCCGATACCCGGCCAATATGTTCTCAGCGTGTTCATGATAGCCGTAAATCTGAACGAGCTCCTGGCCCGCGTTGTAGAGAGACCACTGAATGGCACCTTGCCTAGCCGGCAAATTTTCTGGTGGCGCGACAGGAGCTGTGTATGTCGTCTGAGTTCGGCTGTGGTAAGCAGCGTAGTTGGCGCCAGGCGGCAACGGTGCTTCGATGTAGGCCTGCAAGACCTCCTGGTCGTGAGGCGTGAGAGAAGTGTCCGTCTCAACAGGCCCGTTCATCGCTTCCATTTTCTTCGCAACCTGAACGATGCGACGCCGCTCTCGCTCATAGACGAACATGATATTCTCCTGCACCGCCGCAAAGTGCTTGTCCAGCTTGTCGATGGTCTTTTCGAGACGCTCGCCATTGGTCTTGGGTGCTTCAGAAGGCTCAAAGAGGGATTCTTCCAATGGTACGAAAATGGCCATTGCCTGCGCATTGGCTCGGAGACTCGGGATGTATTCCTCCTCCTCCTCCAAGGGATTACTCGCCTCTCCTGCCGCGTTCGAAGGCGCATCGCCTGCCTTGCCTCCACTGCCTGCGTCCTGCATCCTGTCGACGAGTGTTCGGTAGCCTCAATCCATTGAAGACAAAAGGGTAACTTGAGTTTAGTACGGTGGGTGCCGTGAGGCGAAAGAACCGGACTTCGTTCTTCGCCGGATTGGGTGGGAGTTGTAGATGGGGCGTTGAGGTTCAGGGAGGGTCTAAGTCCGCGCTCGATTAAAGCGTGTTTCTAAGCCAGGTACAGGTCACCTTGGGTTCCACGACTGACAAGGACCCTGAGCCCAATGCACAACTCATAGGGAATGGGATGTTTCCAGCCCCTACATCGAGAGAACACGAACAAAATACGAAAGAATACAGAAATAGAACTCTTTTGGTCATTTTTGCTACTCATCGTGTCTTGGTCATTGTCGATTGGTTTTGCAGCGAGGGACATGGTGACAAAGTGCGACGTGCGTGGGAATCGCAATATGCGATGACAAAGTTAATTGGTCTTATTCAATGACGACTATCCTATTGACTATGGTATACTTGGATGGCTCTTCAAATGGCAATAATGGCTGCTGATACCGCCCAATGATGCTGTAATACTCTCGCTGAATCAACCCCTGCTCGGCTCGGCATTTACCCCCCGGTGTGTTGTACAGAAATTTTGAAATTTGGACATGTCGTTCTCGATCGTAGGGTGAAACGTCGCTTGAAGATGAACTTTTGGTCAGACTTGTTCGGGAGCGGACTGTCGTGGGTTGTGGTGTAGGGAGATCGGCCCGATAAGCCATGACCGAGTCGAGCGACGAGTTGATGTTCAAGTCTAGCGAGCCTCTCAGCTTCGTCCAGACTAACATGCCACTCGTCTTGCTCAAACAAGCGGCTGCACCCCAACGCGGCAGCAGGCCATGTCATCTTTCCATCCATCGTAGGATTCTGTACGCGGGCTTCTTACGTCCCACGCGAGTGTTGTCATCTGGACGGCAAGACTTTTCTCACGTATTCCCTCATCAGCTTCAGCCCTGCCCGAACCAAGTCCTCTAACCGTCTGTCTTTCCGCTTGCGCATCCAGAGCAGTATGAAGGTTAATAGGACGATATCGATGGCGAGATGTTTCATGACGATCCACACGAACCACCGGACCCAAGCCATAAAGCTGCGCTGCTTTCTAGACTTCCACTCTCTGCCGGTCGTTATTTGCTCCCTCAAGGCGGCAACTTCAGCCGTCAGTTTCTCCAAGGCACGTTCCACGCTGCGCGACCAATTACTGCTCGGTACAAGTGCGTCGTCCTCTATGCCGTCGTTGTATCCCAACCGCCTATCGGAATCTCGCTCGGCGGCATCGTCTTCGCTCATGGGACTGAGTATCTTCATGGGACCCTCCGATCCGCTCAACGGTTGCAGGAACCGGCGGGACTCCGTGGTGTATCCCGTTCCTTTCGGCGAGGAATCAGTCGAGCTCGGGCTGTTGTTTTTTATCTGATTCCACACAAATTCAAGTTCCGCGACGAGTTCCTTCGCGTCCCTACAGATGGCGAGTCAGTGGCGGCCCGGTCGTGATGCGCGCTCGGAAGGGAAGGAGGCTGGGAGTCTTACGGCGTGGTCGCGTATTTGTGCATTGTCTCTATCAATGCCTCGATATATCGTCTCTTTGCTTCCGTGCGCGTCAAGCTCTTTTGAGAGTTCCAGGCATCCCACTTGTCCTTCTCGCGTTGCAGCTCGTCGGGAGGCATTCCGGAAGCCGAGGTCGGGCGCTCCATGACGCCATCGACATCTCCCTCCATCGCTTGTTTGTACAGGCCATAGAGTCGGAGTCTGTCTGACGGCGGGGGGCGCGAGGCCCCCGTTTTGGGGATCTTTTTGACGGTATTTAAGGCATGGACGAAGACGCGGTCTATGGGCGGTGGAAGAGCATGACGATACAATTAGCCGGGGAATTGCACTCCCCACAACGGGAGAAAACTAAGGGAAGTAAAGTTTTCTGGTTTGCTAAAAACTCACCCACAGAGTCGGCCATCTAGAAGACCGTCCTGTACGGACAGGACACCGAACAATTTCGATTTGGGTGGGTGGGTGAAGATTGGAGGTGAGGGAGTCGCGTGGATGTCCGAGGTCTGAGTCGGCGGCAGGGTCGGGTTGGGCTCGGCTCAACAACCGGGTGAGATAACTTAGATAAAGCGTACCAACTGCTTCACCTCCACAAGGGTGCGTAGCAGTGGCAGCTGAATTAAAGAGACAGGTGCTGGTAAAACGACAGATTTAGGAATCCAGCACGCTGACATGCATGTTGAGAGAGCTCCGCCATGGAGTTGCACCTTGGAGTCGTCAACGAGGAACTGGACGAGACGTGGTTGGCGGCCGCGGGAAAGGTAAGATAATACCGGCTAGGCAAGTTACAGCGACGGGCGGGTACCGCCAGACAAGGTAGGCAGGGCAAGCTAGGTAGGTAGGTATCCGTTGTTCGGTACCGGCAATCAGCTGCTGGGGGTCTGGGAGGTGAGGTGGTTAGAGAGCAGTTCGCGCCGATGTTAGCAACAGCTGGAGCACCAGAGCAGCCAAAAAAGGTGGTGTGCGAGTGCGAGTGAGTTGCCGGTAATTCTTTGCCTCGGCCGGTCACGCAACGACGCAACGCAAGCCCACGCTGCCACGCTACCGACCTCTCTCCACAGCAGCACAAGGACACTGGAGCACCAGCCGGGGGTGGGCGCGCGGGCCTGACGCGGGCTTGTCAGGGGTTTGCGTCTCCGAGATCCCGACTAGCAATTTAATCTCGCCCACCCCGCGTCGTGCTGTCCGTAGTGCGATGCCGCCTGGGTGGTCGGTCGGCCGAGACAACAAACACGTGAAATGCGGGCAGCCGGCCCAAGGTCGAGCACGTCTGGGGTTTGCGGCACGCTCCGTTGGGGAATCCCTCTAATGTTATGTTTTCGTCAATTAAGTTCCGTTAATTGGCGCTAGAAACCACTTACACCTGGCTGGCCATGCACAAGCCGAGGGACGTCTGTTCTTCCTGTCCGGCCGAACGTCGTCTTTCGGCATTGCTGACTCCTGGCACGCGTACACGCTCAGCTGCGCTACGACTGGTTCATCACGAGGGCGATGCGTTTTCGTCCCATATCAAAATCGCAGAGCTTCCCACGACAGCCACATTCTCAGCGGTCAAGGAATTGAAGCATCAAAGTGTCTGATATTGGTATTGTATGTATTGGTATCGGGGGTATAAGCTACTTCGAAACCTGACCATCACCACATCCAACCTGCGTCATCACGCTCTGCAAAGTTCATCCAGTCAATAATGTAATGCCTAAGACTCCATCCCATCCAAGTCATCGCGAGCTTTGTACAAAGCCACCTTCTTATCCTGGTACGTCTTCATGAGTTTTTTGTTGCCCAGTGCAGCTGTGGCTGCTTTCTGTCCAGCCTCCTTTTTGTTCAGATCGCTGCCCACTCCAAGAAGTTTGTTCTTCTCGCCCCATCCATCCAGATACACGCCAACAGTGAACAAAGCCAGCTTCTTATTCAACTTGTCCTTCTGTTTGGCGCTGGGCAAGTCTTCATACCGAATGTTGATGCCCTTAGCTCCAATGAGTTTCGATAATTCGACTTTGGGGGGTAGCCTGGACTCCTGTGGTGCCGCTGAGCTTCCCAATTCCTTCACGACATGAATGTCTGGAGTCCTGTCGGCAGATTCAATCTTGTCCTTGATTGTCATACTCCAGAGCGAGCGCAGCCATTCTCCGGCCCGGCGAAGACCGTCTGCATCAGACAGGATGACAGCAGCAACATACGCCTCGAATAAGTCACCTCTGACTTTCCTAACTTCTTGCGGGTTTGCTTTCACCGCTATCTTGCTGTTCGGGTCAAGCTCAGCCGGGAGGATTGCTCTCTCGAAAAGCTTATATTGCGTAGAATAGTCGCCGAGGTTGGCATTCTTGATGAGGACTTCTCGTATCTGGGAGCACTTTCCGGTAGGCAAGCCTCCGAATGTTTGGAAGATGAGGCATGTCGATAATAGCTCCACGTAAGCGTCTCCGAGCCACTCGAGGCGGTCGTAGCTCAGGTCGCCCTTGTTCTTGACCTTTCCTTGGTGAGTGAATGCAGCTACCTCCAAGACAGGATTGTTGATCTTGGGTAAGGGTGGTAGTGTGGCGGGAATGTCTGAAGCGGTCCAAGGTCGGATGGCTGAGAAGGAAGGAATTGGAGGCCCATCGAGTGAATGTGAGTGTATGGCTTTCTCCTGCAGATTTGTAAGTCTGGCCTTCCTGGTATGGCATCACTTTGTGGAATATCCTCACCTTTGACTCAATATTATCATTCTCAGGCAAAGACTCTTCTTCGCCAGCGAGATACTTGAACGACGGAAGGAGTTTTTTGCTGAGGCTTCGAAGATTTTGTAGAATATCACCCTGAGGCGTTGTTCCCTTGGGCGATTTGCTCAGCGCCTGGAGACACTTGATGAGTTCATCGCCATGAGAAACAATCAATTCGACGGATTCGTTGTCCGTTTGTCTTCTCTTGCTGGGAGGCAAGCCCTCCGAAGTTGAGCTGGGACGTTTGCTCATCGTGAAAATCGGCGCTTTGGGAAGGAAAGAATTGGGGTTTCGGGCAATTTGTATCGCTATTCAAGCTTTTTGCACCGAGGCTTTTAGTGCATAAACGAACACTCGACTTAGCGCATGGGAAGTTTCCAAAATGAGAAAATTGATTCATTCGACATTTCAGATGCCATTTGAAAGCACTTCCAATCGTCAATTTGCATCCCTGTCACCCGAAGCGCGTCCGCCAGTGGGTACCTTACCCAGTCGACCAGCGGTAGAAAGAACGGGACCCTACCCGCCGCCCGCCTGCCTGGGGCCTGGTTGCAAGTCAGCGGTCAATCGATAATCCGTGCGCACACCCAATTGGGCAGCGCAAACCAGCCAAGTGGGTCTGGAATTGAACGTCTCTGTTAAGGTCTTGCATATCGCGACAAAATTCCGATCCCCGTCATCGACCTGCGGACGAGGCAAAGATGAGTGTACCACGCGCGAGGTTGCTGGACCTCATGAAGGTATGTCGCTTGGAAGAACTTATCGCCCGTGAATTTCGAGCTGACAGTTGTAGGCCCGATGCGAAGTCTTTGCGACAACATTTAACCCCGAGGGTGTCCGTACGGGCAACAAGATCCTGCGCCAACGGTTGAAGGGACCTGCTCTTGCTGCCTACTACCCACGCAAGGTTCTCACTGTTCGAGATGTTCAGAAGGAGTTCGGCCCTGAGCTCACGACTCTCGACTTGGATGAATTGGACAGACTGGACCACATTGCTGGGTATGCTCTGGCTTGAGGAGAAACAAGGGATTCGCGCTGATTAGAGTTACAGGTTGAAGGCTAGAGGAAAGAGTGCACCCAAGAAGGCGAAGGAGAAGGGTAAGTCTTGCCGTCCACTTCGTTTGGTATCCACGCTGACAGCCTCGCAGTCGTCAAGAAGAAGAAATAAACGCTGCCCACGTAGTCAACTCTGCTGTACGATACCCTGCGCAACCGGCGAACAAACTCCTCGATACCAACCTGTCGAAATGCTTTCGACTTATGCTCTCGATTTGCGGCGCAATTGGTGATATCCTCCGGAACTCGAATTTGCGTCCGCACCGCAGTCAAAGACCTCTGGGTCGTGCTGAGACACATCAGCCGCTGTCAGCCTACAATCGGAAAGGGGTGACGAGATAGAGGCATCCAATGTATTATATACGGTGTATGTGAAGGTCTCTCATAGCAAGAGCTGCAATGCGTAGACCGATTTGAATGACTTGATGAAAAATCTCAGAAAGGGTCGCTTGCTGATATCCTTACCTAGCCTGGGAAGACTGTCTGCCTTTCTTTTTTTTTTTTTTTTTGTTCCGGAGGCTTGTATAGAGAAGAAAGGATCTCAATGACGGCCCGAGGTCACTATGTCTCCAAAATAGGTCGAAAGCACAGTTGAAATTCACGAGGGCCTCCCAAGGTGCTGAAATGCTACAGACCTTGCACCCGCCAAATGGCCTCCTGGTACACGCAGGAATTTCACGTTAAGCGGTTGCCAAAACATCAGAATATCAGTGATATTGAAGTAGTGGGGCAGTTGTCCTCCCGTTCAGCTAGCTAGAGCAAGACCTCGAAGTTGGTGCCTGCAGACCAGACGACCCGACTGCCACTCAGTCGTCCCAAAACAGGAGGATCGTTCTCGGTTTTTGTTGGCAGTCAACAATCGTTCTTGCCTCCTTCAACACCTACAACCGCCTTTCTTGCCTGAGAAGAAAAAAGTCACCTCAGCAACGCACCTCTCCTACCTCACACCCAGGTCGGATTTAGAGCCAGATATCTACTGACTTGTTGTTTCCCGACTTTGTGGAGGATTTTCTCAGTGAGATCTACCACAAATACCACAAGGAGGTACCTGTACAGTCCAGAGTGGTCTCCTTCCCCTCAGCTGCCTCTGTCGCTGCCGCCTTTCTGCCTCTCCCTACTTCCACATCTCGACCACCCCAAAAACAAAACTCTTCTCTCTCCCCTTCACCCTCACCTTCACCTTCACCACTACAAACCTCCAACGCAGAGAGGAAAATCCCACCCGCCCTCCTCTATCTGCAACCCTTGCAAAGGAATCTTTCTCATTTCTTCTGCCACTTTTGGGCAATACCCTGACTTATTTTCTGCAACGTATCGACTCCTCGATAAGGCATCGTTCGCGAGCCCACCATGTCTACTCCCGACTCCGCTTACGCTACTTCGAAGCGAGGCTCGCCTGTTACCTCGATGCCCGTCTTCGGAGAGGAGTACATGAAGCAGTCGCCCGAGTCTGTCGGCAACGTAAGTTCATCTCTTCTGTCTATTGACTCATATCAGCTTGGGTCTTTCCGGGCCAATGACCGACCTCGTGGAAAATTCGAATACCACAAGATCTTTGCTGACGAACATCGAAAGGGTCATTCGCTCGGCAACCTCAAGCCGGGTGTCTCGACCCTTGCTTCTTCCAAGCTGATCAATCAGAATGCTTTGAAGGTTGGTTCTTCGACCCGCCATCTGCTGCCTCGCTCACAGCGACAACAGAAGAAGACCAATCAGGAGTCGACCACTATTGCCGGCACGAACCCCATGGATATGCTCCTTGCTAAGCTTTCGGAGCAGCAAGCCGCGCTCGACCAGCAGAATGAGGCTCTGAAGAACACCGACGACACTTTGTACTCTCGTGTCGTGGACGACTCAATTCCCTCGGCCAGCACTTCTGTCCCCATTACCCCCGCTACCGATACCTTTCCCAGTACTGCTCCCACAACTCGCCCCGCCAGCGCTACTCTTAAGGAGAACCGCGGCAACATGGAGGAGCTCCTTCGTCTCAAGATGGAGCTCGCTCGAGCCCAAACCAAGATCACCCGCCTCGACAACGAGCTTGCCCAGACACGTTCCGTGAAGCAAGATGACGAAATCATGCAGCCAACGCCGTCTGTTCGTTCTAGCATGCTTGGCCCTGAGAACAGCTGGGGTCCGAATGATGACAGCAGCTCGGATGCAGGTGCGCCCTCCGTTGGTGGCTACAGCCGTTCCCGTGGCATCTGGGCCAACGTCAGACCTCCTTTCTCCAACAGCGGCGCAGCCATGCCTCCTCCTGACTCCCAATCGATGGCAGGAGAATGGTACGGAAGCGGCCGTGGCGGCTTCAACCAAGGCTTCATGGACCCTGTCGGGCCTTTTTCCGCGGGAGACAGCTACCGCGGAGATCGCATGAACCAGGACACCGAGATGTTCTCCCGCCCTCCCAGCAGTCGCCGCAACAATCGCTACGAAAGCAGCCGCTGGCCTTCTCCTCAGCCGTATGGTGGCTCCAACTTCCAACCTAGCTACGGAGGCTTCGCTCCCTCACCCTCCCCGTTCGACCCCATGGCTGGCGGTATGGGTGGTCCCGGAGGCAACATGGGCTCCGGCATGTATCAGGGCTACAATCCGCAGTCCATCGGAAGTCAGCTTTCGCCCCACGCTACCGAATTCACCGCCGCATCTGGCTGGAAGAACGAGGTACGTCGGGATGGTCAGAGAAAGGGTGTTAGATCCAGCAGACTGACTGATCAACCCGAGCAGGCCATTGCTTCCGAGGGTCAGACTTACCTTCCGACCACTGAGCCTCTCAATTACCGTCGCTTGTTGGACCGCAATGTCAACTGCAACTGGAAGTACATCGTCGACAAGATCGTCTGCAACAACGACCAGCAGGCCTCCATCTTCCTGCAGCAGAAGCTCAAGGTCGGCACTCCGGATCAGAAGTACGAGATCGTGGAGGCTATCGTTGCCCAGGCTTATCCTCTCATGGTCAACCGCTTCGGCAATTTCCTGGTTCAGCGCTGCTTCGAGCACGGAACTCCCGAGCAAGTGGTGAAGATTGCAGAGGCCATTCGCGGCAACACCCTGAACCTTTCCATGGACCCCTTCGGCTGCCACGTCGTTCAAAAGGCCTTCGACTCGGTTCCGGAGGACTACAAGGCTATCATGGTTCATGAGCTGCTTCGCCGCATTCCGGAGACGGTCATTCATCGCTACGCCTGCCACGTCTGGCAGAAGCTTTTCGAGCTCAGATGGTCTGAGAGTCCGCCTCAGATCATGAAGTTTGTCAATGAAGCTCTCCGCGGCATGTGGCACGAGGTCGCCCTCGGCGAGACCGGCAGTCTCGTCGTTCAGAACATCTTTGAGAATTGTCTCGAGGAAGACAAGGTAATTTCAAGGCTTCATCGTATCACCTTCTTTGCTAACGAATGTATCTAGCGCCCCTGCATTGAGGAGGTTCTCGCCAACATTGACATCGTGGCTCACGGCCAATTCGGCAACTGGTGCATCCAGCACATTTGCGAGCATGGTGCCCCAGCCGATCGATCTCGTGCTATTGACCACGTCATCCGCTACGCTGCTGAGTACAGTACCGATCAGTATGCCTCCAAAGTTGTTGAGAAGTGCCTCAAGATTGGTGGTTGCGACTTTCTCGGCCGCTACCTCGACCGTGTGTGCGAGGGTCGAGTCGACCGCCCCCGTATCCCCCTGGTTGACATTGCTAGCGACCAGTACGGCAACTACTTGATTCAATACATCCTCACCCACGCCGGCATGCAGCATCGCGAAGTCGTTGCCGCTCACATCCGCAAGCACATGGTTTCTCTTCGCGGATCCAAGTTCGGCTCTCGCGTCGGCATGCTTTGCACCAACCCTGCGGTCGCCACCCGCCCTGGCCCTGGAGTCGGTCCTGGAATGGGCCGCATGGGTGGTCCCCCTCGCTACGCTGGTAGCAACAGCTATCGTTGAACTCTCTTCTTCCGGCCGTTCGCAGCTTGTCGCAATATTCTCCATATTGTCACGAGCCCTCCATGTTCTCTCTTTGCGTCACTATTGTCCCCACCCCTAATCCTCACACCCATACCCATACTCTGATTTTCATCAGCTCTGACGAAGTCATCGCACCACAGCATATGTCCGTGCTTACCAACATTTTCCTCGGCCATTAATTTACAGATCAGCTGTCATCCTACTCTCGACAAGTTATCACTTGGTCGAGTGCATTGGACACATCATGGTTATGGATTTTGCAATATGGAGGAGGTGCGTCAGTGTGACCTCAAAACCCCGTTCGGGGCGTTGGAGTTGCATCGCGAAACCCGACCAGAATGCTGCAGTCTATTCATGGCGGAACATCAACAAATCCAAAAAGTCCTCGAAACGTCTTGCGTCACAGCCGGAAGGACAACTTGGAGGAGAAGAAGATGAGCGGCTGGGCCAGCATGGAATATCAGAACCAGAAACGCAATGATTGTATGTAGTATTATCACATTCCGGAAAGCTTTGGAGTGTGCTTCGGTCCAGATTGGACAGCATCTGCGGCGGTCCCTTATCAACATTAGGTAGTTTCGCTAGAGAATGTCTTCTTACACTATTTTGATGATGAAGTCTCGATGTAGTGAAAGAAAAGTTTGTTTGCAATACCGCCTTGGCCCAGAAACCTACGCCGTGAATTTATGCACCGAATCTAACCCAACGCCGCAAGACAGTTTTTGAAATCCCTACCATCTACCACGGATTTACGTGTCCTTGCTTGACTTATCAGCCTCTGGTGCTGAAGTCTCATCAAGTGGAGGGAATTCAGCGTCGACTACAGAAGGCTGGTCTCCTGCTTCTGCATCTGTTGTAGTTGGTACATCCTTCTCCCAGGGTTTCTTTGGCACCGCACGCTTTCCAAATGGCTTGACGCACTGAATGATGTAAGTACGAGGAAGCGGGGAATGTCAAGTCCCATAACGATTGAATCCCATAACAAATAACTTACTGCATCCCTGATGACAGTGTCGGGTATCTGTCTTATTCCTGGGATAGGAATGCCCTTCTGTAACATCTGGAGCATCTCCGCGAAGCCGACAGGATACGCTGGCTCGCCTCCCTCGGTGTCAGCCTCTACTTGCGGGGGAGCCTTCCGCTCGACGTAGAGCTCCCCTTTGGGAGCGGCGGCCTGCCATGACGGCGTGTCTTCTGCTCCAGCGTCGTTCTTGGTTTCGGGGTCGGTCTTGAGGTCATTGAGCTTCGACGTGAGGTCCGGCACGTCGGTAGCTGTGGTCGTTGCTGGCGACTGGGACTTGTATTCTTCGGGGAGGATGTCGGGTGGTATGTGGTCGGGGTGGCGGGCGAGCCAGTCTTTGTAGCTGTTGAAGTCGATTGTCACGCCGATGCGCGAGGCGTAGTAGAAGATCCGGGCGTGGGTTGCGAGTTCGGAGGGGGTTCCTTTGGGGTTTGCTGTGTTTGGATCGCCGAGGATTGCGGTGAGGCCGGACTGTCATGGACGCGGTCAGCTCTCGCCATAGGAAACGACTGGGCCGGCCGAAGGAGGGAGAGAGAGGTGCGGAATCCGGTGCTCAGTTTGTGTCAAGGTGTGGCTCACCAGGAACATCTTGTCCTTCTTCCATGGGTATGTGTCAAAGGCCTTGAACATGCCATCCTCATCAGTAATTGCGCGAATGCGCTCTGCGCCTGAGAGCGTTGCCATCGTGGTCGTCGGGATGCGGTCTCGGCCGTGGCTTGTTTGGGCTCGTTGCCGAGGTGTAGTTGGAGGGACAGGAGCTTGGCTGTGGTGGGGGAGAGCTTGGGTGAGGTAGATGCGATAAGATAAGCGGGGGACATGCACCCCGCATTCGGCCCCGTCCGGATTTTGTGGGGGCTCGGGGCCGGTTCTGCATGGATGTGTCCGGCTTTTACTTGGACATCAAGTCACCCACCACCTTGTGAGCTGGCTATCTCGAGTCGGGTCTTACCAAGATTGATTCGAAAGTTTTTGTTTCATAGCTCTTGAGACTTTAGGCAGCTTAAGATGTTGGAACTGCTTTTACCTTTTTGCTGTTGAAGCTTGCTATCAAGGCTTGCGAATGATACTGGCTAACCAGGTAGAGTACTGTTGATATGTAGTATTCTTCTGTCCTCATTTATTATCCTTTCACGGGCTGTTTAGAATCTCATTAGACGCATTGTCTCTGCCATCGTTCCTGTTGTCGCCCCTACTTCTCACTGTTGTTCCTCTTCACTGGGATAGCAAACTCATCGGGAATACATTCGAGAATCCGCCCCTCTGTATCATCGTCCAGATGAAACTTTCCTTTTGGACAGCTCTTGCCTTTTTCTCCTGGTAGGGAATGTGGAAATAAAGTACCTCGGAAAAGGCTAGAGCCCGATTAAGATACGAAGAGGAATCCGGTTGGTTCTTGGGCTTGGCGAAACTTGGTACGAAAGACATAACCTCAGGACGCTCAGAATATTCCACAAGGTAGCTACGGCACACCCTCCTGGGCGACAGGTGACTCCGAAAGACGACCGCAGATTAATTTAAAGACTTCGCGGACCCAATCTAAGATTCTTTCTGTCATTTCCAACACAGCTTTGGAAAAATCCCATCTAACAACACTTCCTCTTACACCACCAACACTTGATAACGATACATTTACCAATCGTATCCAACTAATCATGCATCAACGTACTTTGCACCTGGTAAGTCTCCAAAGTCCAATAATGAATCCCATTTGGCTGACAATCTCGAGGCACTGCGCCAAATTGCAACGCCCACAGCTCGGTTGTTGGAACAACCCTCCCCCATCCTACCAATGGTGAGAGCGGCCACTCGGCCACTCACTACCTTGCGCGCATTTGGACGCAACTTTGCGTCTTTGCAGCCGCGTACAAACATTGTCTCACCCATGCCGAGTGGAGCTAATCGGTGGTTGCAACATCATCGCCCTACGGCCCTGCGCACTCTCAGAAACCCTACACCACCTATCACTCTGCACACGATGGAAACTCGTGTCCCTCGCCTACAACAACATTACAACTTCTCAGCAGCTAGACCATTCACAACAACTCAGCTCTTACAACCGCGTCCTGCCTTTCCAGCAGCTTCACCATTCTCAACCGCTCAGTCCTTACGACAGCGTTACAACTTCCCAGCCGCAGGACCAGTCAAAAACGCTCGGTCATTCCGGCGACGTTCCCAATTTTCCGGGTGCCCGTTGTCAAGAAATCCTCAGCATTTGCAGCGGCGTCGTACTCGGATGACACTTACGCCCAACACTAGGCCTACTCGTTCTAACAACAACCATGGCCGCCAAAAAACCGCGCCAAAGCCGACGACGGAAACACCCCCAGAGGAGCCCTTCTTGTACCGCTTAGTAAGGTACTCACTTGTTCTGGGCATTTTTACGCCAGTGGCGTACCTGTGGTATGAAATGGTGGAAATCGAACATGGACGCACAAAGAGTCGAAAGGAGATGATATTCGACTTCTCGTGCGTTGCAACACTCATCTTGGTGTGGCTGGGAATTCTCACCATGCCGTGAATGCTATAGAAATCTTCAAGCAAAGGTGAACCAGGCAGATAGTCATAGTCAGTAGTGTCACATGGAATTTCGACTTCGCTGCCGACGTATCCTCCACTTAATTCCACGTTGGTAATTGTAGAATAATCACTAGTATCTCCGTATTCCATAATTCACAGTACCACATAGTTCAAACAGACAGAGGTTTCGTATATCTTCATTGCTAGATGATCTAGTTCTAAGTCATATGTCACGATATCTACGTCTACGCTCACGATACGCAAGCGGGCGGAAACTCCCCAGGACAAGCCCATCTGAGTTCCTACGGAGTGTTTATGTTACGTGGACGGCCTGCAGCAAAGAAGGGCCGTCGAACTAGCGCTGACCGCAAAAAGAACGCGCCACTCCCCACGTTAAGAAATTGAAATAGCCAATATCGCAGACAGGGAACAGTGTGATCCATGGGGCATAAGAGTGTGTATAGCAAGGCCGCAGTATCAAGAACCGCTAATCGGGCCGCTGTGCAGAGAGCCTCCATCGTAAAGACGAGGTCCTATGTGTGTAGTGTGTAGCAAGATGGCTGGCCACGCAGGACCGCCAGTGAGTGGCTCTGTTTCCAAGCGGAAGCAGGCTAGAATGTCGTGGATGATCCGGGTAAAAGAGTAAAGAAAACGTCTAGAGCATCCCTGGCAAAGCAAGAAAAAGATGCCACACTTGACCACCTCCTGAGCTGAACGCCGTAAAAGCAACAATTGTTGCCCAAATCTCCCTAGAAGTAGTTGTGGAATCCAATAAACCCTCCGATGCAAAAGCCGATGATCTTTTCAAACGCCATGAAATGATGCTTTTAGTTGTGCTGGAAAAGGACGCTGATCGACTCGCCGTGGTGGACACGACGAATAGCCTCCGCGAAAACGGGAGAAACTGGTAATTTAGTCAGAAGCTGGGAGACACTCGAGAGCTGGGAAAACTCACCATCCAGGAAGCCAAGCTTAGGGCACACCTTCATGTGCTCGCCCTGGGGAACGGTGTTGGTCACGATAATCTTGTCGATGGCCGAAGCGTTGATACGGGGGATGGCGTCACCGCTGAGGATGCCGTGGGTCAAGAGGGCGTAGATCTGAGTAGCGCCGTTCTTCTTGAGGAGCTTGGCAGCCCTCGTGATCGTGTTGCCGGTATCAACAAGATCATCAACGAGGATGCAAACCTTGTCCTTGACATCACCAACCAGCATCATACTGGCATTGCGCTGCTCGCTGTACTTGGTCGGGCGACGCTCCTGTGGCAAGTTATGAGTCCCCGCACCTCCGTCTAAAGAAACAGGTCACCTACCTTGTGAATCAGGGCAAACGCCATGTCCAGCTCATCAGCAATGGCGGTAGCGCGCTTGGCTCCGCCAGCATCAGGAGAGATGACAACGGCGTCCTTGAAGTTGGGGATGTTCTGCTGGATGTACCTCTTGAGGAGGGGCTTGCCGTACAGGTTATCCACCGGGACATCGAAGAAGCCCTGGTACTGAGGATCATGGAGATCCATCCTGCAACCATTAGCAATTGCTTCGAAAGGAAGCAACGAAGGGCAGGTGTAAAGGATCCATAAAGCGCTCTTGTTGGAATCGGCATGAGCTTGCGCGCGAAACAGCGCGACACAGCAGAAGAAAGAACTTACGTGATCTGTTGTTTGTTAGCGAAGTGCTTTAGAGCCAGCAGGTCTTGGGCACATCCTTCTTGGGTTGCGCCCGTGGATATTTTGGGGAATACATACCACATGGTCCGCACCAGCGCAAGCCAGCAAGTCCGCGACCAGAGTGCCAGCTTGGGCAACCCATTGCTTGTATCCCGGCTTCGATTGGAAGCCGTTGACCTGGCTCTGGTTCTCGTAGTCGTGGGTGGTGTAGCGGACCTGCGACGAGATCGAGTCGTGGTTGCGGCCGTGGCCATTGACCTTGGCATCGCCGTTGCCGTTCTTAAAGTAGTCGCCGCCATTGGCGCCGTTGCTTCTCTCCTCGTTCAGCTTGCTCTTAGCCAGCTTGGAAGCAACGCCGTCGATGCCATTGGTGAGCCCAGCGGTGCGCGGAACGCCAGGAGCGGGGGTCGCGGGAACGCTCTCGAAGGTGTAGCCGTTCTTGGAAGGTTCTGAGGCGGACTTGGAGAGAGGCGCGCCGGCCTTCTTGTAGGGGACGTCGGGCTGTCTTGAGTAGGGGAACAAAGGCATGACAGCAGTGACTCTCTTTGCAGAGCCAGTCTTGCAGGCAGAGATCATGATGCAAAGATCCATGAAGCCGTCGTTGACAGAGCCGGAGGCGGTCTGGATAATAAAGACATCCTTGCCGCGCACCGAGTCCTTGATCTCACAGCGAGACTCGCCAACAGAGAACTTGGTGAGGACGCGCTCGCAGGGGTTAAGGCCCAGGTTGTTGCAGACGCTGTCAATCAGCTCGGGGTGGGTGTTTCCACCAAGGATAATGATGTTGCGGACCATGGTGTCGCTGGTGTCAGGGCTTTGAAGATGGGGTATCGAAAAACAGAAAGTAGAAGATGCGGTCGGGCGAAACCGGCGGAGTTCAAGCCGAAATGTAGCAGCTCTTGGGCTCGAGTAGGGCGGAAGAATAGGAGCTGTATGTGCCTAGCTACAATTAAGAGCTTTGCAGGCGGGGTCTCGGGTTGGAGGTGAGGATATTGGTGGTGGTGGGATGTCGTGTGCGGGATGGAGAATCGCGAAGGAGCAGTGCCGGTCTCGGGTTTGCTTGAGGCGTCAAAAATATCTGCTAGTGGGGTGCGAGGCGACGTCACAGGTTCTTGGAATGTGCCGAAGCCGAGGGTAGGCGCAGAAAAAGTTGTCCAGAAAGGTGATGCCAAAGGCTTGAGAGGGCAGACACTCGAAGGTGCGATCACTACAGCAGCATGACGAACAAACTGTCGAGGAGAAGATTTGGAGGAAGGGGGGGGAAGACGAGGAAAGAAAAGCTGGTAGCGGCGGGGATACCTTTGAAGCTGGGGTTGTCGAGAAGTTGTAAAGGAAAATCTCTGAGTGGATAAGTTTGTTTGGGACGTGGATTGCAGGTATCGGGGTCGGGGTCGGGTGCGGTCGCCAACCATGTGGACTGGGGGAAGGTGGGTGTGAATGGGCTGCGTGGTGGGGTGGAAACGGGTGCTTCAGTGCTGGAAAGCGAAGGACACACAGGGTAGCCAGGTGCAGAATCCGCTCGTTTAGGTTAGTCCGGGCAGGTTGGTGCTCTTCATGACTCCGATCTCTGGCAGAGATTTTGCGCCAGTGGCGCCCTGGCCATGCACTGTGTTTCTAGTGGTTGCAAGGCCCTGAGCCTCTTTGGGGGCGGCGCAGAACGGCCGCTGTGGTACCTGGAGCGGCAGCAATGACAGCGGCCAGCCGCGGCAACATGACAGTGTCGGAAAAGAGCTCCGTACAGGTACCACAACCACCCGGACAGCATAAGGGAACGCTGTGATCGTGAACATGGGACGGCCGTGGGATACTGAGATGGGATGCGCCTGTAACTAGGTAGGCTTCTGCTCAGACAATCCTGACTGTGACGGTCTGAAGTCTGCAGCCCAGGCTCTTCGTTGCCTCGTGATTGCACATTCCGGTGATGCATTTATGACAGCAAATAAATACCTCTCGTTATTTCTGCAGACCAATCTCAGACACAGAATGGAGGGAATGAGAAAAACGAGAGGTGCAGAACTGCCTTAGACTCACCACCGGCGGCCACTGAAAGCCGCCAACGCTGTTCCCTGCGCTCATTGCGCAATTCCTAATCAGTACGTACCTGGCGACATTAGCACATGGCGAGAGTGGGGGACTGGGCAGAGTGATTGGGCAGCTTAATGCAGCCTTTTTTTTTTCTTCTCTGTCTGCTCGTCCATTGCGCGGTGTCTCATGCAGGTTGCTGCAAATTGTGACTACCGAACGACCTTACCAGCGACCGCGGGGCAGTAGCAAAAATATTCACGGCAACCCGCACTGCACCTCGTGTACCGTGCCGTCTTGTTCCTACTGTGCGGTGCTGTACGGATCCTAAACTTTCTCTTCGTTGCGTGAGGCAGACCGACCAGGCAGGTCTTTTGTTTGGTTTGGTTTCACAGCTGCCTTGGACGTTGAACCGAGCTTACTGCCAGTCTCCGGTTCCGTTGGTTTCCTAGCTTGCAGACAGAACTCGGCCAAGAACCGTCATCTAGAGGGCCAGCCTGGGTGTTCAACGTTGTGTGACTCGACCTGTCACCATCCGGCCTCTCAGGTGCGCTTACCAGGTTCCATTTCGAGCGACAGGGACATTAGTCTAGCCTTGTTCACCTTCCACACCGACACGACAATTTTCACAACTCCGAAACGCGACTTGCATTCGCACCTCTCGTCGACCGCCGTTGCCGGTAGCTAGTCCTGGTCCTCCCCAGCCAACCACCTTCTCTGTTTCCACGGAGAGCTCTTCCCGAGACCTCAACCCCAACTCCTACGCCAAGTACACCGTCACGATGAAGATCCTTGAGGCTCAGACGGCGGTCCTCACCAACTACGAGGTCTACAAGCACCTTACGGAGAAGAAGCTCGGTCAAAAGAAGCGAGGAGAGCGTCGTGGCCCTGGCAATCTCGAGACCCTGGCCAAAGAAGTGCGTTGCCCAATGACCAGTTTTTGAATTTTTTCTTCAGAAAATGTCACTGAAGAAAAAATATGAATAAAATTGGGTATCTATTACTTGTACGTACGCCCATGACTGACTCATCCGCTCAGCTCCTGCAGTACCTGCGTACACCACCCAACCCGCTCTGCCAGGACCCCATCACCTACCACCCGGAATGCATCTCCCAGCTGTTGGAGAGGCTCCAGCCCTATGACCTCGCCAAGGGTGAGGTTGTAATGATTCTCAACCTCCGTCCCGCCTCCGTCGCTGCGTTGAATACCGTCATCGAAGAGATGACGGAGCGCTTCGACGAAGCCCAGCAGGAAGAAATCGTCAACATTATCGCTGAGGTTCTCGGATCTTTCCCCCAGGAGGCCGAGGAGGAGGAGGGCGGCGAGCAAGCGAACGGCACGGCCTAGGAGACCAACCCGAATCACTCTGCTGAGCCCAATACGGACCCTGACTACGTCAGGTCGCCGTCTCCTGTGCCGAGTCCTTCGATAGAAGACTGAAAGCCTTCACATGATGGCACAGCCGCCTTCACTCTGTCCGCCCGCCTCACTGCGTGTTTTGACTGCCGTGGTGCAGATGTCTTCGAACGCCAACTTGATGAGCTCCCCGGTCATGGCAGAGCACTCCATGTACCTGTCTACTCTCAAGGACTGAGCCATCTGGTAGGCTTCTTGAGGGTAGATGATGCCGTTGGGATCGGTCTCGGATCTCAGGTCCCGCTTCAAACCTAGGATGAGGATAGGCAAGCGGTCAGGTCTGCGGAAGGACAGTTTGACCTCTTTGAACCACTGTCCCAGGCGTCAGGTTGTGAAGATGTAAAGGGTTCAAGGAATGAGACAAGATAACCTACTAGTCTTTGTATGTTGATGAGACTGAGCCGCTGGCTTATGTCGTAGCACATGATGACCAGGTCGGGCTCAAGAAGCTTCCAGTTCTCAGGGCTATTTGTATCATAGAATTCCAGCCGATGTGGTGTACTACCAAGCTTAATCTCGAATATGAATGGTTGGTCGATATCCCTAAGCAGCCTGATGGGGCCAGTCCCTTCTCCAGCACTCAATCTCCTATTCACGGCATTCACATTAGCGATGACATCCCATGTGGAGACTGGGCTTCACTGGAGGGATACGCACGATAGGAAATACGTCTTTCCACATTTCTCATCTCCAACTAGCAATATCTTGATGGCATCTCCGTCCATGGCTGCGGTTGTCCGCGGGTTCGGGATTGACTCGGATGTCGTCCTGATAACAGGATGTCTGGAACAGATTGGCTCAGCTGCCGACCGGTCCAGACACAGTTCGACGCACTGCCCGCCAAACGGCCCCCCGGTCCCGTCACACCGGTCCAGACCTCCAGTCGAAGTGGAAACCAGCCACTGATAGACCAGACATCAGCCACACTCTGTTTTAATGGGCGAATTTTTTGCTCTTCAAAAACGCCTATGTTAACTGCCCCTCCAGTGACAGCCCGCAGCCCAAAACGTACCCGCATGGAGCCGGCCTGAACCCCTCCAAAATTTAACGTCGGAGTCATATGAAGAAGAGCAGCAGGCTTATGAGGCCCTTACACGGTTTGTTTTGGGGCTCAACTCTGCATCGTCCGCCAAGCCAGAGTCTGCTGTTATTGAGACGCCTGGACAGACTATTACACGATTGCCGAAAGATTTTACCCGCCCACACCCATCAACGCCAACGCCACCACCACCACCATCTCAGTCCCCGTCTCATCGCTCACACCCCCACACGATACCTGAGCACCTCACAGGCCGCAAAGATGGCCGAGGTGCCTGGAAAGTACGACTCATGGGAAAAAGAGCGTCTCATCTCCCGCATACGGCACCTCGAGCATGAACTCGACAAGCAGAAGGCTGCAGCCTCCAAGGCCGTCGACGGGGCAGCTGCACCTCCGCCGGCAAAGAAGCGCAAGACGAAGAAGGGGATCGACCCTTCGCGTTATTCCACGCGCTTCATCGCCTTGAAGCTAGCGTATCTGGGGAAGCGGTATGGTGGTTTCGAGTACGCCGACTCAGCGGCTCTGCCCACCATCGAGGGCGAATTGTGGAACGCACTCACAAAGGCGTGTCTCATTTTCCCCGAGGACCCGGCCGTGGTCAACTTTGACTGCTGCGAGTACTCAAAATGCGGCCGTACGGATCGTGGTGTGAGTGCGTTTGGGCAGGTTATTGGACTGAGGGTCAGGAGTAGCAAGCCACTACCCAAGCCGGACCCTGCTCCGACGGAAGGGGATGCGGATACGCCAATGGAGGGCACCGCCGAAAAGACAGAAACCGAGGAGGAGACCAAGAAGAAGCCCGAGGTGGAGTGGTCAGACGAAAAGGAGATTGACTACATCAAGACCCTCAACCGCCTTCTGCCCGACGACATCCGCATACTGGCGTGGTGTCCTTCCCCTCCGCCAGGCTTCTCGGCGCGGTTCTCCTGCGAGGAGAGACAGTACCGCTACTTCTTCACCCAGCCCGCCTTCGCGCCGACAACAGGCGTCTCTGCAGACGGCCTGAAGGAGGGCTACCTCGACATCGAAGCCATGGACGCGGCGGCGCAGCTCTTCGTCGGCGACCACGACTTCCGCAACTTCTGCAAGGTGGACGGCGGCAAGCAGATCACCAACTTTGAGCGGCGCATGTTCGAGGCGGGCGTCGAGGAGGTCAAGGACGTGGGCTCAGCGCTGCCGTACCTCGGCCTCAGCTCCGCGGACGGGAGCAAGCTGCCCAAGGTGTACTCGTTCAACATCCGCGGGACGGCCTTCCTATGGCACCAGATCCGCCACATGGTCTCGATCCTGTTCCTCGTCGGGCAGAGGCTGGAGAAGCCCGAGCTCGTGGCGGAGCTGCTAGACATTGAGAAGACGCCGAGGAAGCCCAACTACGACCTCGCCAACGACACTCCGCTGGTGCTGTGGAACTGCGTGTTCCCCGGCGACAGGGAGAGTCGGACGCAGGAGGGCGAGAACGCGCTGAAGTGGGTGTACGGCGAGGCGGACATCATGGAGAACCTGTGGACGTACTACCGGACGAAGAAGATGGACGAGCTGCTGGCCAACAGGCTGCTTGACCTGGTGTCGGGGCAGGTTCAGGGGACGGAGAGCCAGGCGAAGGGGAAGAGGGTGTTTGGTGGCGGGCCGTTGGGCAAGTTGGCCGGGGAGTATGTCCCGATTATGAAGAAGCAGTTAACCCCGACGCCGGCCGAGATCAACGATCGGTTCGCGCAGAGGAAGGGGTTCAAAAACTCTGAGGAGATGAAGGAGTCGAAGAACTGGAGGAAGATTATCAAGGATGCCAAGGTCGCGAAGAAGGCGGCTGCTGCGGCTGAAGCGGATGAATAAGATGCCGCATCCTGTTGAAATTAAAATATAAAATAATGAGGAAAAAGTTCATGATTTCATTACGCGAGCCCCTGTTCAGCTCTGCCATCTCTCGTCTATCTTGCGATTGCCCCCGCCATAACTACCGCCGCCCTCTGCTTCCCACAGACAGCCCCTAACACCCCTCCACACCGTCTCGACAATCTTCTTTCGAGGCAGGATCTGGGGAAACACAACAACCAGGTCCTCCTCCCCCTCGACGATGACAATCAGGTAGTATCGCACCTCGAAGCCCTTGAACGCCTCATTCACAAGGACGTCCTGAATCTTCTCCGTCGGTATGAAGCGCGTCGCCGCGGCGTAGAGGTAGCTCCCGCTAGACGAGCTCGTCTGGATGCCCAGCCCGCGCAAGACAAGCAGGCTCTCGGTCTTGTGCGTCCTGAGAAGCGTCGCGTACGCCGCCACTACGCAGCCTGCGACCAGGACGGGGAGGGGCACGGTGTTGGCGGAGACGAGACGCTGGGCTAGACGGCCGGGGACGGACTCGTCGACGAGCCGGAGAAATTGCGTAAGCGCTTCGCCCGAGAAGAAGCCGTCTTCCGCGTACTCGTCTCGGATTCGCGAGCTTCGCAGTGGCGTGAGGAAGGAGGCGGCGTTGGGGGACTGGACCCAGGCGGCGCGGAGGAGGAGGATCGAGGAGAAGAAGACGAGGATGCGCAGGATGAGGAGGAGGAGGGAGAGGACCTTGACGGCGAGGGTCGGCGGCGGGCGGGTGGTTACGGTGAACTCGGCCGTCGTGGGCGAGGGGCGCCGGACGTGGAGGCGCGGGGAGGTCGTGAGCATCTTGGGCGATGCGCCGGGTGTCGCGGAGGATGCAGGGCTGTAATTATCGTGCCATTGGTGTTGCGGCAGCTTTGAGAAGACGAGATCTTCTCTGAGGGTTACCTCGACATCGAACGAATGCGCAATTGCAACTTTGGATGTCGAAGCTCGAAGCTCTGTTGGCGATCAGCTACCTTCATCCCCTGTCGCGCGCCTCTCAGCAGTGCCAGTAGCACCAGCACCAAGGTGCAGCTGACGTAATCTCCACCACTCGTCGACTGCCTGCGCACGTCCCACCAGCGCCGGAGGGTATATGGTTCAGTTAGTTGGCGGAAGTTACCGGCTGTAATGGTCAAGTTGGTTGAAGGCTTTCATTATTCTTCTCCCGCTACCCCATATCCATTGGAACCCCCTAGTGGCGCCCAGTGCGAATGCCGCGGTGGCTACTCACTCGCACGGGTAACCTGCGATGCTGCGATAGCCCTAAGCAATGAAGATGATACTTGAGGGAGGTTTCACTCTGCAGAGGCATCTTCACCGTCGCATGGCGTGCTGGATTACGATCGCTAGGGGCTTGGGGTAGTGGCTGAAGATGGAGATGTCAACTCCGTTTCTTTTTTGATTTTCTTGAGATTGATTATGACGACTCGCTCCCATGCATGCGTGCATGCATGCTCCCTTCGTAGATGATAGGCGACACGATAAATGGACGCACTTTTGTCGGTCGCATGCTGTATGTGGACGATTGATTGCGTGGTGGTGGTGCTTGGTCCGCTGATTGCAAGTTCGCGATGTCTTCAGTGGATCGATGTACACAGTGCTCTACACACATGGTTCGATTCGTCCCAACATAAAGCTTTTGTTTTATTTTTGCGCATGTCGCCAGGGCCTGAATCAATCAAATCAGACGAACTACGTTCAAATGAGACCGTCCCGCTCTGTCTCATCGGCTTAGTGCACCGAGGTAAACTGGAGGTTGTACTTAGAGAGCCCGCCTGGTGCAGACGGCAACAGCGGCAGGCGACGAGGATGGCGGGAACGACCAAGGAGCTCTCAGGAAACGTAGTTGGAATAACACGGCAGGTGGTCTGGTTCAAAGTTCATATATAAGTGCGGACTCGATGTCAAATTGCATCCTTCTCAATGTTCAGCCTGTACGTGGCCATCCTGAATCGAGCAACTAACTACATACACTGTCATCCTCACCAAAGGGAAAAAAATAGACACTCTCACGACGAGAGGAAAGCAAGAAATAGAAGCAGAAAAAAATCAAGGTGTAAAGAAACGCAGGCGGATGGATGTCTCCCCTGCTCCAACTAGATGAACAAAGATGCCGTGGGGCAACATTGTAAGACGAACGTTTCCAGCACTTTTCGGTCCCCTCCCCCTCCATCTTTTTCCAATCTCGAAAACGAGGCGAGACGGCCGGCGTCGACCTGTCTCAAGCCCCTCACCTTTTTTTCAACATACATTTTCTCGCATCTCCCAGATTTCTTCCTCCCCCGGCCTGCGTGTCCGTCCTATCACGTACATCGCCGCTCACGGTATCATGTTTGTCCTTTGCCTCGCGGCTTTGCCCAGTCCAAGATCCAGCCATCATCAGTCATCATTTGAGAAGGAAGAAATGCAGCAAACACAAAATAGGTTGTAGAGAAGAAAGAAAGAGAATAAGTAGTAAAATCGCTCTGCGCTCGAGACAAAAGTATTCATCAAGGATAGACTTGAAGTGTACAAAACGGCGCTTTCTAATCGGAATTTTTCAGCTGTCGGCTTTCGTGGCATCGGAGACGATGCTGCACTACCGCGAATGGTCGTGTTCCTCTGTCGTCGAAAAGTAATGGTATCAAGGTTCATCGAAAAACGCCAGTCGCCATGCAACGAATTGAATCGAAACATCAAGGGGGATAAGTGAATATTAAGGTGTGTTGTGGTTGGGGTGTTTGGTAGGCTGGCATGGCCTAGATGAGGTCGCTGGCGTTGAGACCGGTGGGAAGCGTTTTTTGTCTCTGAGCGCTGATGGGAGATCTCAAGGTCTCACGACCGTAATTGACGGGCATGGGCACGCTCTCGTAAGGTGCAACCTCGTAGTTGTCTTGTCTGGGACGCATGGCGACGGAGTCCTTGCGGCTGCGGCTGCCCGATCGGAAGCGGTCGGTGGCTTTGGAGATACGGCCAGCAAAGCCGTTCTCGCGTTCGCTGAAGCTGCGACCGCGGCTGTGACCCTTGGATGCGGGAGCAGCCGGGGCCGGGATGACGGGGACCGTGGTGTCCATGGGCGCAGCGGTGGCGGGTTCGTCATCGTCCATGACGATCTCAATCATGCCAGAGCCGATGGCGCCAGCGCCGTTGTGAGCAGCATATGGCAAAGGCGCCGGCGGCGGAGGAGGCGGCATGGCGAGGTGCTGCAGCTCCTTGAGCATGGGCGGAGGAGGTGGCGGGGGCGGGACGCTCATGTGGTCGTTGTCCTCCTGGGAGGCGCGCCTGGAGTGGAAGAGATGGACTTCTCCCGAGTTTCCTCGTCGCATCGATGGGCCGCGTGAGAGTGCGCTGGGTCCGCTGGTCTTGGGAGAGGGTACGTCGATCGGTGGAGCAGACATGCTGCGAGGAATCATACCGCGGACTGGAGGCTGATAGGTTGTCTGCGGGAGGAGCGTGAGAAGGTCGCCCTCCTTCTCTTTCTCAGGAGATTTCTGGTTAGGCGAAGTCACAGGAGAGTGTCGCTGCGCAAAGGTGGCCGGGATCGGAGGCACCGGAATGTTCTTTGCCTTCTCCTTGTCGGACTCGATGATGAGGCGCATAGCCTTGGGGGTTGCCGGCAGACCGATGTGGACGTTGGAGCTGCGGGCGTACATGCTCCTGTGATGGGCCGAAGGCGAGTCGGCAGTGTGGCTGCGGGGAGGAAGATCGAGGCTGTTCGGCGGCGGCTCAATGCCGATGCGGATCTGGTTGGGATGAGGAATGGGAGGCGCTGAGGGGCGTTGTGCCAAGGACTTGCGACGCTCCTCAAGCTCGCGGGCAGCCTCCTCCTTCTTTCGCTGTCTCTCATCCTTCATGGCCTTGAGATCTCCAGCATGCTCAGTCGACGGAGCACGCGACTTGGTCTGAACAGGAAGGACATCGCGGGGCTGCTCAATGTTCTCAGCCGCGTGGCGACGTCGGCTCTCAGATCGATCACGTTGGGGGAACTCTCTGATGAGCTCAGGAGAAAGTGCTTTGCGAGACTCGACCTGGCTTGTGCTCCTGTTGTGTCTGTTCCGGAAGTTCTCTTGGGCGATAACAGCCAAGGCAAAGTCTTCCTCATCTTCGGATCCCTGGTAATGCGCAGGGTTGGCAGAAAGGGGAAGAGGTGATGAAGGAGACCTGACGTGGGAGCCGGTGCGATCTTGGCTACGACCCCGGAGGTCCAGCGCAGTAGGACGGTGCTTGCTTTCAGGGCTTCTATGGCGAATTTGACTGCCTCGGCTTGAAGTACGGCTGGCTACCTTGCGGCTGGTACTTGCCTTCCTCACGGTGGCGGGATCCATGGACTCGGGCAGCATCTTGGGGGTGCTCAGGTTGATGAGGTCCTCAGGCGACATAGGAATGGGTGAGGTGGGAGAACGCTTAGGCTTGGGCCAAGTGCGGTTTGAAGCTCGGCCACGCTCCGCTGAGGCTTCGCGGGAAGCCGTCTTGCGATTGCGGCTGTGCTCACGGTCTCGGCCGCTTGAGCCGTCCCGTCTACCCTCTCGGCTTCCATGACGGCTGCGCTGCTTGCGTTGTTGAAGGCGTTGGGCGGTGTCGAGACTATGGATATAGTCTTGCTTGCCACCAGTGGTGTTGCTACGATAGCTCCTGCCAGCGGTGGAGTGAGAGTTGACGGAGCTGGTGACGGAGCCCGGACCACGTCGTCGAGAGGGCCAGTGAAACCGGGTTGAGGAAGAGATGGACTGCTCGGGGGAGAGGGTCTCGTTCGCCATGGGATTGTCGAGGCCTTCCAAATCGAGTTGGAGTCCCTTCGGTTTACGGTCCCGAGAGCCGTTTCGCTGGTGCAAGCTACCTTCCATCTTGATAATCATCCTGGCATCAGGAGAGGGGGGAGGGGGGTCTCTCGAACGAATGGTCAGCATCTTGTATTGGTCGCGCATCATCATGGGGCTAGCCGTGGCGGCCCTCTGCAAAGTCAGGCCGGCAGCGAGATTGTCTTGTTCGGCCGACGACATGCGTACGTGGATGGCCCCCCCTTCGGCCTTGAGTTGCTCACGCGACAGGTCACCTGGAACCTCGCCGATGGAAGGAAGACGCTTGCGGCTGAAGGCAGAGGTACCGGACCTGGCAGAGTTTGGCGTATTGAACTGGCTGCGGTTGGGCGGGCGAATGAACGCAGTCGTGACGTCGAAGCCGCCGGGCGAGACAGCCGAGTCGGCGATGGGAGTAGGACCGGCAGCAATCGGGGTCTGGCCTCCATCAACCTGGGAGAAGAACTTTGACTTGCCTCCCTGGTCGCCGAACGTGGTGATGAGCTTCAGCGCAGACGTCTTGGCGATGCTTCTTTGAGGTCCACGGTTGACACCAGGAGGTGAGAGAGGCGGCGACAGAATCTCAGGAATGTTTTGGTTGACATTTTGGTTAATGCTCTGGAACGTGACCTGGGCAGCAGAAGGAGAAGTCCAAGGCTCATCGGACTCAGCTCCGGTGCAAGCAAAACTAGTATCGGGTTAGCTGAATGGCCAAAGTCAGTGTGAGGAACACATACCATCGGACTGCCAGCTGCTGCTGTCCATGCATGACCGCCCATTCTCCCCACTTCTTGATGATGGATGCCTGTCGTTCCCAGACAGCGGGGAAGAAGAGACAAGTCAGGATGAGAGCCTCCATGTACTTCTTGTGGGATACGTAAATCTCGATGGCATCGCTGTGGTCGCCCATGCCAATCAAAATGGTAACAGCAGCGTGAACATCACCATGCTCAAGCAGCCTCTGGACGTATGTGCGCCCTAGCTTGTGTTGAGATGATTGACCTCCGATGCCGCTGAGAGCCAGCA